ACCATCAAGCAAATACATTTATGACCATGTGCTCATGAAGCTTAGTGAGTTTCTTTTTAGAAAAGAGTCTGAATTCACACCCTGGAATTATAGAGGTATTCCTATAAGGAAGGGCACATATTTCTATAGGTAGAGAAGGGGGATGACATGATGTGTGTAAATTTAGAATATCAGAGGGAATGGTAGTGAAACAAAGTGATGAGGAGTGGTGTGTCAAGTATTTAAAAGGAGTCTATATGAGGAAAAGCTGTTTATCTGGATGGTGACCATATGGAGGAAAAAGAATACAGTGCCTTGTCAATCATCCATGAGCATCATTTCCTTTAACCAATCAGAAATCATTCCCACCCTCTTATTGAAGAGCTTCTTTTTTTTCTCTTTCACTTGTACTCTCACACTTGCATATCAAATAATGTAAGTCCCCAAATCGCAAGGCTCAAAAGGGCACATTGTATATAGGGGAGGCAGGTACAAATTTTTAGCATATCCTATAGTAAATGGAGTAGATTAACCAGCATTATTATATAATTTTATAAAAGAGAAAGTACATAACAAAAATTGTGTGTGTGTGTGTGTGTGAGTGGAGGTTAACACAATAAAATCTATTTCCTGCTTTTGTCAAGGTCTGGTGTAGGTCAATAGTACCTGTGGCCAGTCATTCAGAAATCCTGGCTCCTCCATTTTCTATCCATGGCCTTAAGGTCTCTCTGACATCTAGCTAGTGGCTGGAGAGAGAGAGAGTGGAAAAAGGCACCAATAATTTTAACCATTTTGGCCTGGAGATGACACTCATCACTTTCTTTCATATTCCATTGATGAGAACTAGCTTTGTAGCTCCATCTAGATATAAGGGAAATGGAAAATGCAGATTAACTATATACTCAAGTAGATAAGTTTGAGAGTAGCTAGCGCATCTGTCAGCCCCCTCATTTGCAAAATGGGAGCAACAATAGCTTCTGCCTCATAAAATGTGAGAGAAAAATGGTATAATTCACCCAAGTGCTTAGCACAGTGCCTGATCCATAGTAAGTGGTTCTACAAACATTTTGTTGTTGTTGTTAAGATTTTATTGGGGAATTGGGGAAGGGGAACAGTGTTGGGGAATTGGGGAAGAGGAACAGCCAAGTTGTTGTCCTTCAGTCTTAGTTGTGGGGGGCGCAGCTAGCTCAGCTCCAAGTCCAGTTGCCATCCAGGGGCCCATCGGCATTTTGCGGCCACTCAGCTCAAGGTGCCATGTTCAATCTTAGTTGCAGGGGGGCGTAGCCACCATCCCATGTGGGAGTCAAACTGGCAACCTTGTTGGGAACACATGGTCTCACCAGCTGAGCCATCCTGCTACCTATTGGTAGCTTAGCGGCTGCTCAGCTAGGGCTGTAAAAAAATTTTTTATTGTTAGTTTCAGGTGTACAGAACAATGCAATAGTTATCCTTTTCATCCTCACGAAGTAACAACCCCTCTCCCCCCCATGTACTGCCCTCCCACCCCCGATATCATACTTATCTATTACAATTCCATTGACTCCATTCCCACTCTCTACTCCACGTCCTGTGACTATATGTATATAATTATAGTTGACATACAATATTATTCAACATCAGCTTCAGAAATACAGTGCGGTGGTCAGGCCTCTACACCGACTATGAAGTGGTCTCCCCAACAGAACATGGGTCCATCTGGCCCCCTGAGAAATATTTACAACATTATTGATTATATTCCTCAAACTGTCTTTTTCTATCCCTGAGGCCATATTGTAATTACCAATTTGTATTGTCTCATCCCTTCCCCTTTCGGCAAACATTTTTGACATCCATTAAAATAATTTCTGATTAGATCTAATACCTTCATGGCATTCTACTTCTTAAAACCTTTAATAGCTTCTCATTTTCTCTGAGTAAAAAACCAAATTATTTACAAGGCCCTCTATCATCTGGCCTCTGCCTTCATTTTCAATCTCTTCCTATCATTCCTCCTTTGCTTCTATGATCCTGTTTATATTGGCCTGTTTCAGGTTCTCAGGCCAAGCCTCTTTCCACTGTAGGGTCTGTGGTTCCCTGTGCCTGGAATGCTTATACCTCATCTTTTCATGTGGCTGGTTCATTCTCATCTCCAGGTCTCAGTTCAGATATAATATATTGCCTCCTCAGAAAGGTCTGTCCTGACCATCCTACCCAAGATATCTTCCTCTAGTTATTCCCTATTTCATCTTCCCCCATTTTTGTTATCACAATCTGTAAAGGTCTTCTTTGTTTATTTGTATATTGTCTGTCTTTTCCATCAGACCTGTTGGCTCTTTGAAGCCAGAGGCTTTGATTGTTTTTTGCTTTATCCTCTGCAACTAGAGCTAAGCAAAACATCTAGTAGGTATTAAATAATTGATAACTAATTGAATGAAGGAATGAATTAATTGAAGATAAATTGAAGATCTTCTCAGCTGGGTGTTTCACCTTAGCCTACCAACACATTCACATTTCCCTGTTTTGGGTTTTTATTATTTCCCTACAACTTCCAGGTAGTGCTTTAGCTCTAACCTTCCTTCTCAGCCAAGCTTCCTGAAAACACAGTCTATACTCAATTCCATTTCCCTTTTCTCCTCTGGCTTCTGCCCCTACCATTTCACAGAAACTTCTTGTTTGGGGGAGCTTATTTACCAAATCCAATGCTTGATTCTTAGGTAACTCACTTGTCTGCTTGACACTGTCGAGTACTTCTCTCTTCCTGAAACTCTTCTGCTTTGACTTTATACTCCTATGATACCTGTGTATAACAGTGGTTCCAAACTGGGGGCTGTTTTGCACCCCTCGGGGATATTCCACAATGTCTGGAGACATTTTTGGTTGTCATAACTGGCAGGGGGGCTGCTACTGGCATCTAGTGGGTAAAAGCCAGGGATGCTGCTAAACATCCTACAATGCAAAGGACAACTTCCCATACCTGCAGCAAAGAATTAACTGGCCCAACATGTCTATAGTGCAAAGGCTAAGAAACTCTACGTACAAGCATGCCTGCAGATAGTTCATGCATAACATGGACATGTTCAAAACTAAATCATTACCCCTTTTTTCACCTACTTGTTCCTTGTTATTAATCTGATTAACGGCACTTAGTTTTGTAAATCAGTGTTTTGAGAATCATTTTTTATTTCCTCTCTCTCCCTCAATAGGCTCATCTATTAGTCACTAATTCTTTTTTGAGACTATTTCCTAAATATCTGTAATCCTTTCTCTTCCCTCAGTTACCACTGCCTTTATACAAATGCAGACATTGTTTAGTTTTCAACAGTCTCCTTATAAATGTGTCCAACTCATCCTCCTTGAATAATCCTAAAATGGGAGCCCAATTACATTTTTCCCACTGCCTACAAGATAAAAGCTGAGCTCCCAGGTCTGGCTTATCATGCTTACCATGTGTTTTATTATCTACAGATCCTTGTTCTGTTGCTATTCCCCCCTAATTTCCTTCTCTCCTAATAAAAACACAAGAAAACAAAACCAACAAGATAAATAAAAAAGCTTGATGTTTCACACCTCTGTTTATTGGACATTACGTCCCCCCTTTTTGAAATGCTCTCTCCACCAAGTTCCCTCCCCCCAGTGTCTCCTGAAAATTTCTTCCTGGGAAAATCTGTCTTTTAAAAATTCTGCTCTGTGTACATGCATACTTCTTTTGGGACACTTTTTATATACATACCATCCATCTCAGGTGTAAAGTTTCAGCTCAAAAACTGAAGTGTAAGAAAGCAATATATTTTTATTCCACTTCGGTTTAAAAATTTTGAATTCCCAGTCTATGAGGTGGAAAATCCCAGTAATTTCATGGTCCTCTCCCCTTGCCCCTGGGTTGTGGTTAAATTCTGGAGGAGCCTTCACAGTACCTAAGTTTTGTAGAAGATGTAGGCACTTGCCTCTTATTCTTGTACCCAGGGATTCTTTAGATTTGGGGGTTCTCTTCCAGGTATCTGTATCTTGCTTGCAGGTATCATTTTGCTTTTATGGGGACACGCTGGAACTTGATCTTTCTGAGGCTTTCTTGAAAACCTTTCTTTTGTGATATGGTTTCCCCATTATCACAAAATTATCCCCCCTCTCTGACATGTTGCTACCTACCCCAGATTGCCTGGAATGCAGAAACTCGGTCCTTACAGAGACCCAGCGTTATTCCCTTTCTTTTAATCTTGTTAATATTTTACTGCAGAAGCATTTCCTGTCTCGTGAACTTTTTGCGTCAGAGGCATGTCATACATTTACTTACTGAATGGGTTTAGACTTTTAATGGGTTTAAGTCACGTAAAAGCTAGTGACTGTCAAATTCTTTCTGCTTAGACCTGGTCCCATCCCCATCCTTGAGGCCGGGTAAAAAACAGAATGGCCAGTAGCTCCTAAATCTAACAGCGTATTAGATACACCTGAGGGGGCTTTGAAACTTTGAAGATGCTACCGCTCCCAACTCTGCATAATCAGAATTTGGTTTCTTTTAAACGATCACAGGAGATTAAGGTCGAATTTTCGAATCTCTCAATGGTTGGCGTGGGCAGGCCTCGCTCAGCCCTTTCCCTCAGTTTCCCAGTTTCTTTTTCAGCAGTGCGCCTTGCCACTTGCCCACCGAACGGTGGCGCCGCGCTCTCCTTCCAGCCAGGTCTCTCCTCCCCTTCGCCCTCCTCTCCCCACCCAGCTCTACCCCCCGCCCCGCCCCTCTCCCCTC